TGAAGAAATTAGCTTTTAAAAAATAGTTCCATATAAATATCTTTTTATTATTATGTTTTATATTTTTTAATATATAATATATTACTTTATAAGTAACATAGCTTTTGTATTATGAAAATTTCATGCTGAATAGTTCCCAGGATCCCATAAATAATTCTCCACCTATATCAACGCTACTGAGATAGATGATAAATATATTTTAAAGTCGATTGGATTCCTTGATTTCGAGGATAAGTTTCAAATCAGAGTTTATGCTACGGCACAATGACTCTCTTCTTAACCAAAGTGTTTGCATAAATTATCGTGAATAACGACAACATAACCTAACAATTACATCATTCATTTTATTTATATATTTATTTTTTGCTCTGTCTCAAAAACCAAATTCTTTGTCCAAATACAAAAACAACAAAACTATATTATTCATTGATATTTAATAGTAATAATTCGAGACCTATGGGTTCCCGACATTAAAAAATTAAGTATAAAATTAAATGGACTAGACTATGTCTATGTCACTATTTGTACTGTTTATCACAAATTAAGATTTATTACTCAGATTTCGCTTGATAAAGTCTATACATTTTCAGTAAGCAAGAGAATCAAAAATGATTGTTTCGGACATGACATTATACAATATTAGAAATTATATACCTGTTTAAAAAATCGGTATGAGATAATCGCAAACTGTTTTTCATTGATAGTTGGTTATTATTATAGATTGCTATATAGCATGTAGTATTCCCAGCTTATGGGAATTCAATTACATATATTTATCTAAAGAATCTTGTCCCTAGATAATACTACAGGGATATTTATGTTCAGGATCTTATCCGTAAATAATACCACCAAGATTTTATTACTGCTGTAAGGATATTATTTTTTCGGACTCTATTTGCTGATCATTGAGAAAGCAACACAGGCTGAATATGCTTTTATTAATATGCATAAAGATTATCCTTAAAGGATAGTATGGTATCCAATATCATTATTCATTATCCAGATATTATGCCTACTGTTGTTGGCATTATTTCAACAACTTAGGATTAAAAACAAAGTACACAATCTTCATGACCGTACCTAATCCACTTTCTATATTATATAAAACCAACAGTTATCACAGTCTGTTTTTTTTCCTCTACTAAGTTATGTACCAGTATTAGGAACATAATCAACGCTCGTCATATATCGATCATACTTCTCAGCAGATATTTAAAACATAACCTAGTACCATCAAGTTGGTCTTTATTATTCCATACTAAAACTTCTGACTATACATATTAACACAAACCAAATTGAAGTTCCCAAAATAATTCCCATTGTTTGGGGAGATTGACCTATAAGAACACATATATTTAAGCTAATTTTACATACTATTAAACCTTTTCATCAAATTGAAATGTTCTGTTAACGTTTTTCCACTTAATCCACCAAGATTTTATTAATATAATCTGTATATTTCAGATCGAAAGTGCATAAATTCATCAACAAACGAATGCTTACAAATTATAAATCAAATCATTCTTCAGGCACTTTACATAAAGAACGTGGACTTCTCTTAGTAGGGCATCAAAGAGATTTAAAAAAAACAGATCCTAAAACTAAACAAAGTGAGCAGATAATAAAAACATAGAAAATGTAGCGTTTTGATACTGCCTTCCTTATCAATCCCATAAAAATATTTTTCAATGGAATTATTGGATTACGTGCAATTTATAAAAATAATTCCAAGAATCCATATCTTTAAAGATCTTATCCACTGATATCGAATAAAGCTTTATGGCATTGTTTATATTTTTGAGGTGTGTCAAACAACATTAATGAGCTAATGTTTTTATTCAATATTTTGTATATGTGATGGTAATTTAGTTGTGATAACATATGCATATGATATGATATGAGCTGATAAAGTCAGAAAGCGACATTAAACCTTAGGCATATGTTTCAAATTTTCATGCCAAAATCATGTAACTCTTAGAAAAATATTCCCATTGCAAAAATGCTAAGATTTTATTATACTTTTAATAAATCAATTATTATTATTCTTACTTTTTTTAAAGGAATGTATCTGGGAGAACTTGTACGCCTTGCATTGCATAAGGCCACTAAAGAGAATCTTATGTTTTTACGCTCAGCAAATAAAAATAAAATTTTGGAAGTATTGAACAAGGAAGTGGGTTGTTTTAAAACAGAAATGTTATCTAGAATCGAAGCAGACACCTTTCCTGATTTTACAAATACGAAAAATATACTAAAAGAACTTTTTGGATCGGAAAAAGTGAATATAGAAGACTGCCAGAAATTAAGATTCATGTGTGAGTGCGTAGCGCAACGAGCTGCTAATTTAGTTGCTGTAGGCTTAGCCGGTCTTGTGAATAGAATCAACGAACCGAACGTTGTCATAGGTGTGGATGGTTCTGTGTATAAACATCATCCGAAATTTGATGCTTACATGCGTGTAACTATGCGTAAATTTGTAACCCCCGGCATTAAATTTGATATAATGCTGTCGGAGGATGGATCTGGACGAGGAGCTGCTTTAGTTGCTGCCGTCGCCAGTCGTCAGAAATAATTCCTATTTTAGAATATTGAAATCTTAGTACATAAGTTGATTTTTCTCTAATAAAATATTTTAAAATTATAATTTTTTGTTTTAAGTATCAATGTTTTAAATAATTGGGATTCTATATAATACAACAGAGACAACTGTACTTTAATACGAAGTGAAAGCAGATAACACAAAAAATAGTTATTCACATGAAACTATAAAACAGATTTTCAAGCCACGAATATCTGATCTACTATAACACAGCTATGCTTATACGAATAGTATTGTCCATTTTACTAAAAACCTGAAACCGGTTTCATAATGTGTTTTGTTGTTGCATCACTGTCCTTTTCTAGTGAAATTTTTTATAGCAAATGATTGACAATCATAGATGGTCTATAGACAATATATAGACGGTATATTAACGGAAATCGTTAACATTTACCTACTCATACTTCTCTTTCTTTCTATTGATTCTTTGTGTAATTTAATAAATGCTATCATATATATCGGTTTTTTTAAACCCATTTTAGCATAGTGGATATTTAAATACCCGTTAAAGTGTAGACACGTCAACTATGCTAGTGCGATCTAAGTAAAAGATATCATAAAAAAAATTTTTTTTTTATAGTAAAGGGCAAGGATGAACCTATAACATAAAAATAGAACAGCATAATTTTTACCTGGTTAACGTTAGTTTTTCAGAGGTTGAAATCATGGTTTTTTTATGTCGGAAAATGCTTGGCAAAACTGTTGCGAAATATTGGGTAATGAGAAAAACACAGAACCCCTCACCATTATTAGGCAATTTAATGTGTTCTATATGCAATAGAGATGCAAATTATGTAAAATTAATAGAAGAATTAACACACCAACGCGTTAGGTATTTAAATACCTATGCTATATCTCAGGAATATTTCCAGATGTCAAAAAAATGTTTGATTTAACTTCTATGATCTCTAATAGAAATACATTAAAATTTCATCAAAATCGTAAGAGCGGACTTAAGGCAGACTTTAATCGGTTAATGAATAACCAAAGATAGATATGTAAAGTCTGTAATTTTAATTCATAGCTAATACTTGAAAAATGAATATATGATTATTAAGAAAATAAATATTAAAAATACTTTAATAGCTTAGGTTGAGTTAGGTTATTGTGGCAGTTTAGTTCATTAATTCATTTAGAACTCCACAGATCCGTTGTTATAATACTTCTTGACGCGAGACCTTGAGTGATATTACTTTAAAAATCATTTCGCAAATCTTTTAACCACAAAATCTGATTAAGCTTATATTGTGTACTTCCTTGAGAAAATTAAAAGCATAATTGTCTTAGGACCTAATGCTGTTCTTAACTACATGTATTCTAGTACAGAAGAAGTGTTAAAGTATTTCTTTTTTCTTCTACAAGTATAAACACTCCTCGACTGATACCATGCCTACTTAGAAGAGAATTGTCAGGTCTATGTACACAGCCACTCTTTGCCAACGACGATCAAGTGCCGTTCGACACCTCCCAAGAAGCCACAAATAGTTCCAAGTGGGTTACAACAACAATATAAACGTGAGGTCAAGAATTTACAGTGGCAATATCATCTTAAAGACCAAGGTTGGCAAAAACAAAATTCTTAACAAGCCCCGCTAAACAGCTTTTAGGCAGAACGATGACTCCCTTGTTGCAAGTACTGTCCGAACTCAATTGAGATCAGTACATAGCAACGTGCTTAACTTTTACTTGTTAATATAAAAATTGCGTTAGATATTCCAATATCGATGCTGTCGTTATGTAGGGATAGATTTGCATTCCATCTTTCTAATTTGTTGGCCCTGCAGCATCCTTTAAAATCATTCTGCTGCAGTGTCGTATTTTACAATACTCTGAGAGCCGCTAATATCATTTAGAGCTGTCACGCATTTTATCTTGACAAGTACCTAATGATTATCTTATAATATAATATATCTTAATGATAGCTCTTGCAAATTTTATCCCTGTTCCATCATTTTTATTTTAGTATATATATTTTAGGATGTATAGCCAGTTTTATGTTCTGGATAAGACGTGGATAAGACATGACATATACAGAAAATTTGTGGCAGAAAATTATAACCCCAACACAGTCGCAAATAAACTGACTTTTTTCTAAATATATAACACTGCCTTATATACACTGCTAGAAATCAGTGTAAAAAATTACAACAGTAATTTGAACTCATGTTTAATTATGTTAGTAATATGTAAGATTCATGCAAAAAAACAATATTTTGTCTCAGAACAGTGATTGTAGCTTTCTACAACATTGCTGGAACAAAATTTGCAACACTTGCAACATAATTAACTCAATATAGAATAGTGACAGTTAAAATTTAGTTCCGGATCCAAAATCGACCGAGTTTACATACTAAAGCCACTCAGCGACCATTACCTCCTTTTGAAGTTCAGCCGACACAGAAATACAGGTTACAACTACAATAATCGAAGGAAGTCCCTAAAGTATTCCTACAGTTATGCGATTTGCTATTTGTTATCATATTCTTACTATATTATTCGGTCATACATTTAAAGGTTTTACTTACAAACATCTTTTTGTTCTTTTTGCGCGTCTTCAGTTTGAGTTAGGGAGTCTTTATTTTCCTCATTTGTGTTTTCTCCAGCGTTTTGGCTTTTATCATCATTCAAAAGTTGAACTGTTTTTTCCTTAAGAGAACATAAAATATAGTACACATATTATATTAAATAAATAATTATTATTATTTACCAGAAGTTTTGCTCTGTTTTTGAAATTTTGTAATTTTTTCTTGCACTTCAAGTAGAGCGGTTGAAGCTTTTGGACATATTGAAATAACTGTTCTTGATCGAATTCTTTTAAAGAATCTAATGCCACAACTGAAAAATTACTTTCCCTAACAGTTTTATTTTCACAATTCACACTATCTCCTGAATCTGATGTATTACTCATCATGAATTATACATATTACATTAAAATAATAAATTTAATAATATAATTGAAAAACAAATAATGCACTTTCCTATCGTACAAAAAATCTGCTGTCAGCTTGCTTATTGGCCGCATTGCCAACTTTGATTAGTTGTCATTTTCACTGCAGTTCTAGATGTGGCAAATATTTTGTATCTCTCAATCATACGGTATGTATTTGTTCTCTTTGTATTTTCTAGTTGATGGCTGGCATTAATATCTATTGATAAATTGCAATACAATAAATATATGTATTTCAATTAACCAAAATGCAGATTCTAGCTGGCTACGTTGAATATTTTGTCAAATTTTAATATTTTGAGTACACTCTGGAAATACAATTGAATGTGTTTTAAAAATGTAATATATCGTTTAGAGAATGAAAAATGAAATAATTCTTCTTTATTTTTCAAGATTTGTAATGAATTATATAAAGGATTTATAAATTCAATAATTTCTGTATAAAGAGTTATAAATTTTTCTATTTTCGCTTATTTTCTATTACTTACATTTAACTTACCAACATTTCAAAAATAACCTTATTAAATTATTATACATAATATGAATATATGAATATTACTTTATATATAACTAACAAAGTATACTAAATTTACTTTATGAATGCGATATAGTTTGAATCACCTTTGTAAACTTTTCTCTCTATGTTCTTCTAGCTTAAATGTAACATATTTTACATTTTTTAAATGTTCAAAAATTAAAGTATACCTTTTATCGAAATCCGAAATGTTCAACAGTTTCCATTTTTCAAAATAAAAATTAGCAACATAGCATTAAAGTTTTGGTATTCTTGTAGTGACTGCAACCGAAACAAACAAAACCATGACGTCCACAAATTGAAAGAATTGGATGACTGTAACTGCAATCATAACATGGCCTTTAGTCTGACGAAAACTACTTTTAATATGAATAAACCAATTGGTATGACACTACCTAATTAGCAATCTTAAATTGTCTCATTATTTATATCTTATCTTATTATTAAGTTACAACAGTAACTACATTGTTTTCATCATGATTCAAATAAGAATAAAATATTTATTACATCAAATGCTTTTTATTATAAATGAAGTTTCGATTTCACATTTAAATATATCAGTTTTTATTTCTTATGTTAGATTTATTAAATATCAACGCAATATATAATTTTTACTGTATTGTATTTCACTGTTCAACAATATTTTGACGAAGTAATATATATCGAATCCGTTTGGCAGCACGTTGCGGAAACTAAACCTGTCTACTATTGTGAATAAAATTCAAATTAAGTGACAACCGCGTTGATTGGTTGTTCTAATCAGATTTTTAACTTGGTTTTCAACTGTAGGTTGAAGACTAACATATTTATAAAATTCGTATTATTATATATATTATTTATATATATATTATATATATTTTTTATACTATATATGTATTATATTATATATATATTATATTATATATTATTAGAGTTTATAAAATTCATATTAACTTTTGTGGATTTTTGACATTTTAACATACATAATGTTATGTGTTAAGGAGTCAAGGAACCACATGTGGCCTTACATTCATTCCATAGTCGAAACCAATGCCAAAAATGACTGATTAATAGATATATTATATTTAATAATATATAATAAATCTATTAATACCTACGTGATATATTTTATGGTAGGAAATTTTTAAGCCATTTATAAGAGATTTAAAAAATTTTAAACTAAAGGTAATTATAATATTAACAAGTTTTTTGAAAAAATGAACATGTGCTGCTTTTCTTGAATTACCTCAGCTCGTCTAAACTACGGATAGCAATAACTGCCCTTGTTTTATAAATTGTTTGCGATACATTCTTTGTACCCATCTTAAAGCTAAGATGTAACTTATTTTATATCAGATTTAATAATACTCATTATGTATTTTATAAGATGATTTTGTTCTTTAGATTATTAAACTGTGGTCTTGGAAATAATTCTTGTATTTAATTATTCGTAAATAATTTTTTGAAACTACAACTACCAGGAATCGAACTCGGGTCCTGCCAAATTTGAAACTCAGGTATCAACGCACCTTTTGCTGGGCCCATCAGCGTCTGCTTATAATGGATCCCATTAGAAAATTAATTTTAAAATATTTTCCAAAATTATTTGTTATCAATTCCGCAATAATTATGGAGGCAAGTAAAACAAATTAAGTAAGTTTTATTTTGATATAAATATATTTTTTATTGTTTTTTGAAATTTATTTGTATAAACACAAGAATTAATTATAGATTCATAAAGTAAATAAATAAGAATATAAAAAAATATATATTTCGTTATAAAGACGCGTCACTCTCGGCAAGAAAAAATTAACATTAAAAAATATATATTATTTGTTACGTTCACTTACTATTTTGCAAGAGCAATATATGAGTTTGAGACTTTAGTATTTATAATTAAAAGAAAATAAAATAAAATTAAGTGAAAAATTTAAAAATATTTCCCATATAGTATGAATACTAGTCAACTAAATTTGCTGTCTGATTCATACTGCAGAAGCTGCTGTTAGGAGCAGCACAACGTGTGTTCTGATGGATCTGCATGCACGGAACACTACAAAAGCGAGTGCTGCACACAGTACAGGTATAATTAGAATAGTAGCCACACACAGCACAATATTTACGAGGTGGAACCTTTGGTGCTGGTGCTGCAGCTTGCATGTAAATTAGAGCATACTCACTACAACAACGTTTTTCGCTATCTAGAAATTGTTGAAAGTTCATTCGAAGTTTTTTGTGTGCTCTCTTACGCTTTTTACGTTTCTTTTGTTTTCCATTATTATCTCCCAACTTAGACGTTTTCTTCGACATAATGGAAACTGACTTGTGGTTCGAAATATCTTCTTCTAAATCCTTTTGCTGTGCTGTTTTTGGTGTTGCATTGGATGTGACTGCATATAGTGCACGTTGTTTTGCTGTTTCCGTAGTGAGGTTGAATGATTTGTTGTTGGACATATCGAGTGACAAAGTAATTACAAATTATTATTAAATTTTGTTGTGGATATGGATATTGAAGGTATACGGAGTTAGGTGTTATGGAGTTTATTTTTTACTTTTCATGCACTGATACATTAATGCGATCCATTAGGTCATCAATGCGTGCTTGCAGAGTTTCGACGATTTCAGTTGATATGAATAGGTGATTATCATCTAAGTCTTGGATTATGAATTTGCAGCCCAATGATAAAGTTTCATCTAAATGTAGCAGAAATTGTTTCATAGCCGGATCACTGGAAAAAATCAAATACATTAGACACATTTATAATAAATGCACATGCTTAATGATATTTTTCAATGCATAAAAGAAATGTTAAACCTCTAAAATTTTGCTGTAGCAGAGAAGGACCTTAAAAAGAAATCGGTTCGAAGGTGATTCGTATATTTCCTAGACAAAAACATATCAAGGTGCAATGAGTTAAAACCACTATAAGATTTGGTGAGAAGACAAAAGGTAAAACATTCATTGCTTACATGATATATTATTGGCTATTTCTTAGCATTTATCAAGCAACCAATTTCTATATTCCAGTGAAAGTGCAGCGACACACTCAGCAAAAGTAAATGGCAAAGTCAAATCGAGAAAATTGATTTGATAAATAAACAGCTTTAAACTGTTATATATGAAGTAAAATGAGCTGTAAATGTAATAACATTAGGAACTAAAGTAAAATTAGTTGAAAAATACTTTTAAATGGAAATTTCCTTTCTACTGCAGGAGCAGATTTACTGAATGCTTTCTCATTAACTGATGGCAACCTATGAAGATGCTGGTATTTCATCGGTAATTTTAATGTAAATACTTTATTCAAGCTTAAGTTAAGCAATCAGCTTAACGAAATACACAAAATATATGAAATTATTCTAACATTTATTTGTTACAACTTACAATTCAAAACATAAACAAATATCAAGCATTTCTTACAAGTTATGCAGATTTACTAAAACTATATTATATTCACTCACCATTTAACTAACACTCCTTTCATAACATTTACCATCTTAAAATAAATATATAAAATAAAACTCCACAAAAAATAATATAAATTTTGTATATTTCTTAGCGTTTGTAGCCCTTAAACAAAATACAGCTGGTAGAATAACTTAAAAATCCGTCAAGAACAACCACTCATCGTATCTGTCAAATTTAATTATATTCACAATAGTAAATCAGTTTACCTTCCACAATGTGTTGCCGAACGGATTCTATAAATATTATTTTGTAAATTTTTATCAATAAGTTTTTTGATTTTCACTGAGCTTAGGTCGTTTATTTAACACGTAAAAATTATTACACTTATAATTTTTTTTTGTCATTTTTATGATTGTAATCACTTCTGCATCCGACTAATCTGCTGTTGGTTAAATTATATGATTTGCTAGAATAAATATTTTTTTCCAGTTTCTTTCGATTATATTTTCCTTCACATTCCAATAAGATTAGAATTGACAGAACAGTTATTGTTCTATTATTGTTATTATAATAGAATAATAGGACAGTTAATAGAAAGAATATTTGCACAAAAAACTCATGCAATTGCTTATTGGAGTTTTAAATAAATATGAGTTGTTTAAACTTAGATAGTTTCGTGAATAGTATTATTCTATCAATATGTATATATATATATCAATATATATAAATATCAATATAGCCGCCTACAAATAAACAGTAAAATTTCACATTAAATTTTCCATATTTATTTCAAACTACGTTTAGAGTATGTATTATGTTTGATTAGACCTACAATTGTTTTATTTAACTATTCGTTTAGTAATTAATCATTTTTCATATAATGTAAACATATATGACAAATGTCAAAAAGAAGTTTTGATAATATTAAAGTCTGTTTAATATTTTTATTTAGTATGTTCGGTGTTTCATTCTAATAATATATAAATAAAACTACCTTTTATTGGCATAAATCTAATATAATATAGCTTGATATTTATTGCGTATCGCATTTCAATTAATGCCATGTATTGAAATATGTGACATTTATTGCACTTAATTGTGTAGCTTGAACGGGCTAATAAATTTTTTTATCATTTAATATATATACAATTAAATTTTTTTACAATTTTTCTGTAACAAATATTAAGTGTAATTCTGTCCGAGCTCAACACCACATGTTTTTTTTTAATAAACAGAATTTTCTATATCAAACTTCTCATATATTTCTCGAAATTATTCGTAAGTGGTAGAGTATATGAAATAAATAGTTAAAATGATATAAAACAGAAATGAATTATTTTAGCTAAATTTTTTTTACAAAATCATAAAGCTGACATTGAACGGCTGATGTATTTCAGGTTTAATAATGCACAATAAATCCAAAAAATGTGGTCGAAACTAGAAATAAGTTTTCAGTTTATATTGTAAAGTTTGAAAATATATTTTATCTTCATTCAACATTTTTTTTGCACAGGCCAAAAATGAAATCAAATAGGCACATTGGCAAATCAGCTGTTTGAAATGAGAACAAATGAATAACAACGAATGAAAAACACTTTCAAACGACTGTGTAAATATCATATAAGTTTTGTAAAAAATATTATTATTAAGCAGTAAAACTTTTTATAGCTTTGGCCAAGACTTATTTCATTCATTTAATGTGTCTTTATGCAAAGGCGAATCATTTAAAAAACTAAAATAGATGATGTCAACTATAATGGATGAAAATGGCATGTTGTCAATTTTGTGTACGACATTTTATTTAATTTTTAATTTAATATTAATATAATTGCATTTCATAATTTTTATTAATAAAATTGTGTGATTTTAATGTTCTTTCAACAGAAAATTCAAATTTTAGTTAAATAATGTAATTTCGGTTCCGTATCAACATGCGCTTAAGAATAATTAATAAATAATAATAATAAATATAAATAATTATATATATAAAAAAAATAATAAATATTGAATTATAAAAATGATTAAACAAATTATATTTAAAAACTTAATATATATTTATTTTGCGCTTTCGAAAACTATAAAAATATTAATAAACATGTAAAATAAGCATTGATAATGAAATATTTGATTTAAATATGATTTTGTGTTTATTTTAGCATAAAAAATATTGCCTTTATTACGATGAATATATGCATAACCACTATGATAATATATATTATAACCAATTGTATGCTCTCAACAAGACATTAAAACTAACATGCGGAAGAAAGTGAATGTTTCGTAGAAAATTTCGAGCGAATATTTTGTTGCGAATCACGAACGAATATTCGCTGCGAATTTCGAACGAATATTTCGCTGCGAATCACGAACGAATATTTCGCGTCAACGCTTTCGATGCATACCATGCTTATAGCTACGTTGGCAACCCTAATTGTCAAATTGTTTGCGAGAGTCTTCATTTGACTTTTTGCGTTGAAGGTGTGAATAAGGAAAGGCGCGAAATGTGCAGATTAAAAGTATTTCTTTTATTGTTTTTGTTTAGTTTTATAACTATAAACAATGTTGAAAGCACAAAATTAAACTATCCGCGTGTTCTATTACCAATATTTGATAAAATATCCATAAATTTTACATTGGAAGTTATTGAAAAAGGCTGTTTCAAATGGTGAGAAATTGTTGTTGCTATTGCCGGCTGTTGGTGCTTAACTACATAACCTTAAAACCTTTTGAAAGCTTTAATTTTTGAATATTAAACAAATGTTACTATGTTATTAATTAAATAGGACTTCATCGAGGCAGGACTTGATACTGATAACACCACTTTATGACGATAGCGAGGAATGTTCTCATCGTGCAACTGTTACTGTGGTGTCACGGGAGCGTCGGCGAAACACAGCGATTGTTTTAGCCGAGTCATTGTCCACTGATGCCACATTGCGTTGTGATGTTATTATTGATGTTATTGATAAGCTTGGCGTACACACAACGACACGTCAATTATACTTGGAGGAGGCGCCAGAAACTTTTGAATTACGTGCCGAAGATTCTCAAGGCAATGCGTTCACAACTTTAGAGGGTGTAGAATTTAATTGGGAAATCTCTTCAATTACTAGCAAAAGTAAAGGTTGGCTGCCTGCGTTGCGTTTCTTATCGTTTAGCGAAAGTGAATATCACGAAGTGCCATCATCCTTAGAGAAGTTTGAAGTGCAGCGTATGAAAGGCTATATGGTATTACTGGAAGGAATAAATACTGGCACTGCTAAGGTAATTCAGTGATTTATTCCATTATAAAAATTGCTCATTTATTTATTTTAAATTTTAAGGTGACAGTTAGTCTACCGCATGAAGAATACCGTCATGTGAACAAAATTGAAGTGTTTATTAGTGTTTTGGCGAATATCATATTAGAACCATCTGAAGTTCATATGTTAACTGGCGATACAATTAACTTCCGTATTTTACAACTGAAAATGGGAAAATTACAAGAAATTTCTTTGAATAATCAGTATTATTTGGAAATTGACGATAATACGGTAGCTAGTATAGATGACGCCAAGGCAACGGGCCTTAAGCTCGGTCGTACCGTTGTAGTGCTACGTGATCGCAATGCTCCACTTGACAACAACTTCTCTGGTGATAACTCTATAACAAAATCATCTGCACCAAGTGCAAGACTTACTGTTGCAAGACCTTTTAGATTGGGTGTAACACTCTTACCTTTT